AGAGCGTATGTAAATATAAATATACAAGTGAAGATTGGAGTCAACACTCAGAAGCGACTGGCTGTTTCATGCTAGGCGCAATCGTCAGGCCGTCATCTTCAGGCCGCCTGACGATTGCGTCCAGCATGAAACAGACTGTCGCCTCTGAGTGTTGACTTCAATGTTCACACACACACACACACATATATATATATATATATATATATATATATATATATATATGGGGAAGAGTTTATAATTGTCCCAACGAGAGAAATGTATGCAAACGTTTTTAGTTATAATGTGGATTTTTTTAAAATATATATTATACCTTATTTTACATATCTTCTTTATCTAATGGTAAGGGAGACGTTACACGTATACAGATAATTTTTGGGAACCTTTATTTTGTGGAACAGACACCTAAGAGGTTACTTCCCTGACCAATACAATGTTAACCTTTTCAAGTTTAGTGTCAACCCTTGTCTATCATACATATCCTCATAATCTACACTTAGTTCCGCTTTTTCATACAATCTCATTCAGTAACCATCTACCTTGTGTGGTTCCCTAGCCTTTTATTGGATGAATATTTAGTAAAAAAAATTCTTATTTCTCACATATCACACCTCAGTCATAATAACTAGGGTCAGGCTACTTCCTCCCCGCCCGAAACTATGATATACCCCCTAATCTATTATATGCCACCTAAATCTATGTTAAAGTGTACCCTACATGCTAATTTTCTGTGGGGAAAATTGTGAAAATGGCTTACCTCGGAAACGCGTGCGAATCTGTGCAGTGTGCAAACTGCGGTTCTCCCAACGGTAAAAGGAACCAAAATGGCGTCACCCATATTTTAATGCCGGGCGGTCTCGGTTAGTTAACGCGAAATCTCGTTGTCTCGTCATTCGCATGCAAATCGTAGTCGGTTCTCGGCTGTATAAAGCAGGCTCGTTTTGCTGTTTCGGATGAGAGAGCTTTCGGCTCGTGAGAAGGTTGGACGTGTGACACGAGGGGGGGTTCTTCACGGTTTCTTTGTTCCTGCCTGCTATCATCAGTTGAGTTGTTGCGTTACCTCCCACATTTTCATAAAGTACTATTCACATAAAATGCAAATTTTATTGTAACCTATTAATATGTACAATAATGCATCATATACAATATAAATGAACAATTCAGCTAGTAAAAATAAAAAATTAACGAAATATAACGAAATAGAAATTAGAGACATATCATAATAGATCATTCGATCTTATATATAAAGTACAGTGTATGTGTGTTTGTGCGTGTGTGTGTCCAAGCAACTTCGCTTCCATTTTCCGATTTCAGTAATTCATATCTCATTCAAAAGCCCTAAAAAATTTTACCTCAGTTTCAGGGTTGCCAGATTATGCGTGGCTAAAAATGTATATTAATATATTATACTAGCCATTATCGTTGCTTTCATGGTTCAAGGGGAGTAACTCTTATTTTCCTTGCGTGTCCATAATTGCAGCTAGCTTAAAATTTTAAGCTAGCTTAAACGCCACCCTATTGGTTTGGCTATCATCACAATAGCTAGGGAGTAGTAGATGCGATAGACATCAATAAACTACAAAAGAACTCAAAATTGATGGCTGCATATAAGTATTGAATTAATGTTTAAGCTTACCTTTTAAAAGTTCAACGAAAATTCGTCTGCTGCCACTTAATTAAAAGACTATTTCTATCTACGTAGATTCTTATTTTCCGTACAATTATTTTTATTTCATAGGTGACAGAGCAGGGTACAATTTACAAGATCAAATTAATATAGTGTAAAAATGGGAAAATAGAATTTAGTTATAAATTCAACATTTGAAGCCTAAAAGAAACATAATAGCTAATTAAGTAAATCCTATATTATGCAATCTATTTGAACTAACACGAAATTGGAGTTCAATTCTCCGACGAATTTACATTATATCAATTTACTCTAAAGTGTCAATATCTGTATTATATATTATAGACCTCTAGGCAATATAACTCTTGAGGTTTAACTAATTTGCATATTGATTTTAAAAATGTTTATTTTATTAATCAACTGTCCTTCCTTAATGTTTTTTTATTCGAGTATTGTTTGATTTTTCTATTAAAATAGTTCTGTTTAGGAATATCGTCTTATATAGTGCAAAAAAGTGTTTGAAATTTGCATTTTACTTGGCATTCAACAAGTTGTCATCTAATTGTAAAACTTTCTTTATCTATAACAAGCCAATTTACGAATCAAATATTCGTTTAAATTTTTGTTTCAAAAGTTTCATGTAGTGAATATATCTTACTTTGCGAAGTAACAGCAAGCGGGCAAAATCTGATAGTCATAAATAAGTCAACGATGTTTTGTGAGAAATTTTACCATGAATTTGAGATTTTTATTGTTAAAAATGTGAATAATTTTAAACATTCCACATCATGGATAAAAAAAATATGGAATTTTTATATAGTGCTTTTTTGACAATTAGAATGAACAAGAGAAATTCATGAATTTAGACAAGAAAAAAAACAACATAGAATCACGTCAAAATCCAAAAATTTTTCATGCTTTAATTGTTAGTGGTACGTAAATAAATGTAGGCAGACGATAAAGCAAATTTTGATAAGATAATGTGCGTCACAAAGCAATGCCAATGATTGAGGGTCCGTGGATAATACGTCCCGGCCCTATTCATAAGTTATTGAACAATAAATTGTTGTGTGGATCTTGAACATTTTTTTATGGGGTGATATTTAATATATCCCAATAACGGGATGGTCGGTATTGATCGGCAAAAATCGGAAATTTTAATTGTTGCATTTCTATGATTCAACTGCGAATGGCGGAAGTGTCCCTTTATTAAATTTACAGCAGCGTTTAGTGAAGATTAAAATGGATTTTTCCTGTCGCTAAAGTAGGTGAGTACGTAATTCATGATAATATCCAACAATAATGTGTTAATAACACTTTTTTAACATCCAAGAGCGGATGATTCTAACTCTACAAGTAAGTTTTTTTTTCCTGTGTTATTGTTAAATCTCATGCGTTGACATTCGGGGTTGATTTTTAGATATTGTGGGTTTCTTAAACAAAAAAAAACTCACTTTGGCTTCTTGAGGTCTAACCTTAGAAATAGGTTTTTTCTACGTTAATATATATATATTTTTTTTTTAGACTTTTGTATTTTTTAAAAACTTTTTATTCTTTGTAATCTATTCTAATCCTGATTCTTCTAAGTCCCTGGGATTTCCTTACGATAATTCTTTGCTATTGATAAGTGTTTTCTTTCTAATTTATTTATTTCTATCTTTTTCCTTCTCCCTCATTTTTTTTTTTTTTTTTGCTCTCTATTTGTTTTGTTTTTCTTTTTTCGATCTTCCCTCTCCGTTTTGTAAAATATTTCTTTCTGTTTTTGTATGCTTGTTCTTTCGCTATCTCTCGCTTTTCACCATTAATCGATTTTTGTATAGGTTTCTTCGCTTTGATTTCTTCTTAGTTTATTTTCTTTCTTTCTCTCGCTCTTTTTTTTTTTTTTCTTCCGAAATAATAATAATAATAATCAATAGAAGAAGAATTGTCTTTTTCTTTTTTAACAATTATTAGAGGAGTGCAAATATTCGCGCCTGGTTATCATTATTTTTAATTTTCTAATCGAGCACAAACATGATATAATGTTTCTCTCTCTATCTCTCTGGCTGTTCTTTTGTTTATTTCTTCTATCTTTCTTGTTTTAATATAACTTTCTTCTAGTTGCCTTTTAATATTCTTTATTTCGAAACCTCATCGTTTTCTATCCCAACTACTCTTGCAGTGCGTTCTTTAATGTATTTAAAACTTCAACATTTACCCTACTAAACCTGATAATATCTTTCTTTTTTTCAATACTTCAACCTTTCCCCTATAGAGTATTTTTTCTTTCTTTCTTTCTTTCACGTGCATTCATTTTTAAATCTTTTGTTTAATTTGGTTCTTTCCTTTTTTTAATGTTCATTCGTTATTTTCACTCTCCTAATTTCATCTCTTTTTTTTTCTCCCCAAAATCATTCTCACTTTTCATTTTTTTAAATTTTTCCTCATTCTCACGACACCTAATAGTGACTCATTTGGATTGCACAATATGAATTTTGTCAACACACAATAACCAATTTTCTGAAAGCATATCCGTACATTAAAAAAAACAAAAACATTATTATGCAAAATAGACAAAATGAAGTTCTATGCCTATAGTTTCTTCCCCGTTCTTTCCGTTTCTTTCATTCCAGCCAAATTTGATCTTCAACAATCTTAAACGTTATTATTAAAATGTATTTTTATACATTCATAGTATTTTTGCGGTTCATATTTGCCCATATCTCGGACCCTTACTGGTGCTCCCACCCCGGGTCACAATAGACCTGTGAACGATATCAATTAAGAATCTCGAATCTCCGGGTGTATTTTATCGTCAAATCCAGGACTCTGTGTGTGTATTTATTTAAGTATATCTTCTTTACAGTTATTTTAGGGAATCCACCGCGATGTCATATTATTAAGCTTCAAGTAAATATAATTTGAATGTAATTGATGGTCTTTTTTATATAAAAATAAACTGCTGTTATTTTTACTAATAAAATATATTGTTCTACTTTCATAGTGTTTTTTTTGTGGGGGGTCACTATTTGCCTATAGCTGGAACCATAAAAGTTGTTACAACTCCGGGTTAAGGTGGACCTGTGAACAACAGCAATTAAGAGGTCGATCAGAGGCGTCGCTGCCGGGTGTAGTTTATCGTCAAACCCAGGACTGTGTGTGTATCTATGCGTGTGTGTGTGTATGTATTTATTTATGTATGTGTTCCTTCTATTTTCTTAAAAAAAACTGATGTTTTATTGTTCTCTCTCCTTAATAATGTTTAACATTTTCTCATTTAATTTCACTCTCAGTAACGTCCTGCGTCTTAATGACTTTAATGCCTGGCTTGGGGTGAAATGCTTAAAGAATTATTTATTGTTTCCATTTTAAAAACAAACCTCTGCGAATTATTGACGTACAGTGTTATTATTGTCCTTATTTAGATAGATAGATAGATATGAACAGGCTGAGATAGATAGACTGGCCTGGAAACTCTCCTGATCTAAATTCAATCGAGAATCTGTGGTCAGTCTGCTAGGAAAGACTTCATGGAATGGACATACGAAGTACTAACATGTGCACTGAGTTATGTTTCATTTGAAAAATACGAAAAAAGTAAATCATAACGGAATTATTCGTTTGGTTTCAATTAATTTGCACAATGGTGTAGATAGATAGATAGCTAGATCTAGCTAGCTAGCTAGCTAGATAGATATGAGCAGGTTGAAATGGAGAGTATGGCCTGAAAACTCTCCTGATTTAAATCCAATCGAGAATCTGTGGTCAATCTGTAAGGAACGACTTCGTGGAATGGACATACGAAAAACTAACATGTGCACTGTGTCATGTTTCATTGGAAAAATGCGAAAAAAAGTAAATAATAACGGAATTATTCGTTTGGTTTCAATTCATATGCACAAGGATGTAGATAGATAGATAGATAGATAGATAGATAGATAGATAGATAGATAGATAGATAGATAGATAGATAGATAGATAGATATGAGCAGGTTGAGAAAGACAGACTATCCTGGAAATTCTCATGATTTAAATTCAATCGAGAATCTGTGGTCAGTCTGCAAGGAACGAATTCGTGGAGTGGACATACAAAGTATTAACATAGCATTGGGTTATGTTTCATTGGAGAAATACAAAGAAAAAAGTAAATAATAACGGATTTATTTGTTTTGCTTCAATTCATTTGCACAAGGATAGATAGATAGATAGATATGAACAGGATGAGATAGACAGACTGGCCTGGAAATTCTCCTGATTTAAATTCAATCGAGAATCTGTGGTCAGTCTGCAAGGATTGACTTCGTGAAATGGACATACGAATTACTAACATGTGCACTGCGTCATGTTTAATTGGAAAAATACAAAGCAAAGTAAATAATAACGGAATTATACTTTTTTGTTTCAATTAATTTGCACAAGGGTGTAGATAGATAGATAGATAGATAGATCTAGCTAGCTAGCTAGATAGATAGATATGAGCAGGTTGAAATGGAGAGTATGGCCTGAAAACTCTCCTGATTTAAATCCAATCGAGAATCTGTGGTCAATCTGCAAGGAACGACTTCGTGGAATGGACATACGAAGTATTAACATGTACACTGGGTCATGTTTCATTTGAAAAATACGAAAAAAAAATAATGGAATCATTAGTTTTGTTTCAATTTATTTGCACAAGGATGTACATGAATTTCGTTCTTTATTCATGATTTCAACGTTATTTTGTGATTCCGTTTCTCTTATCAAGTTTATTTGATGTTTTTTCTCCGTTTCCGAGTTTCTCTGTTAGTCTTTGAAATAAGTCGATAAACTTACGATCATTTTTCTCTTCTCCCTTTTCCTAATTTCTTTGTAGATCACTTATTCATTTTTCATTTTTTTATCTGTACGTTTTCTTTTTTTTTCTTGATTATTTTTCGTTTTTTCTTCCGCTTCATTTTCTATTTTTTTTCTCTCTTTTCATTTCAAAATTTTCCTTAAAGTATTCTTCCTTTGTTTATTTTAAACTATTTTTTTGTCAAGACACACACACGCACATCAGGTGGAATAAGAAGACATTAGCAGTCTTCTTTTCGATCGGTTCTTTAATCTATTAAAAATTAATACCTAATTAAATTTAGAAAAATCCGTCGGAAATATCCACTTGCTAAAACGGGGGCTCAATCTTAAAGTAAGATGAGTTGAAGATCTACAAGAGATTCATATGATTTCTGGAATTAATTAATTCTTTACAATAATTTCTGTTTAGTTCGAAATCGGTCTCCGAGTCATCAGATTAATTATTAATCATCCGTTCGCGAAAACAATGTGTAACCATTGTACTGGGGATTAATAGGGGAATTAAACGAAGTGAGTAGGATTTGAAAGGTATTTTTCTATTGACAAATTAATTATGTTCTCATTGTATCATCTTTAAACTGTTCAACAAACGTTCATATCATCTTTTCGAAATTATCCGAGCGCCATCTCTCTCTACCAGCCGTATCGTTCACTGCGTACCGAATGAATATTATTGGCTATTAATTTAGGTTCAAAACGGGAGACAGTTATATCTTCTTTTAACTTTGTTTTCGTTTAGCTTTCAATTAAAAAAAAAAAACAGCAAGTAAAAAAAATCGTACATTATGTTTCTTATAATATTGCAATTAGCATAGATATATTTTTTGCATCATTCAGCGCATTTTTCTATGATCAAGGTACAAGTGATATATATATATATATATATATATATATATATTCACATATATATGCACTTATGTATATATATATATATATATATATATTCACACATATATATATATATTCACATGTATATATATATATATGCACATACATATATATATATATATTCACATGTATATATATATGCACATATGTATATATATATATATATATTCACATATATATATATATTCACATATATATATATATATATATTCACATGTCTATATATATATATATGTATATATATATATATATATATATATATATATATATATATTCACATATATATATATATATATTCACATATGTATGTATATATATATATATATATATATTCATGTATATATATATATATATATATATATTCATGTATATATATATATATATTCACATATGTATGTATATGTATATATATATATATATTCACATATGTATATATATATATATATTCACATATATATATATATATATATTCACATATGTATGTATATATATATATTCACATATGTATGTATATATATATTCACATATGTATGTATATATATATATATTCACATATGTATGTATATATATATATATATCACATATGTATGTATATATATATATATTCACATATGTATGTATATATATATATATTCATATGTATGTATATATATATATATATTCACATATGTATGTATATATATATATATATTCACATATGTATATATAAATATATATATATATATATATATATATATATACACACACAAACACATATATACACACACACACACACACACACACACACATATATATATATATATATATATATATATATAGTCTCAGACAAAGTACCGCATCAAATAACAGTTTGTCTAGGTTATTCTACTGTTTTTACTGGGTCGTTTAATACCGAAGTTTAATTACTTGCAGTATTTACATTATTTGGACTGTTATCCTCATCTTCATTGCCATATTTACAACTCTTCGGCCATTGTATGCTCCGGTGATTGGAATTTCGATCTGAACCCTTGGTTTTGTACACCAGCGTAGATTGTTCTAGTTCCACGTGCCATGCCTCTTCCTGATGTCTCAGTTATTTCCCTTTAAATCAACTTTCCAAGTTTTTGGTACATCACTGCTGTGGCCTGGTACTGAACTCTCAACTGCTTGAGTCTAATCATTGGATCTAACCAACGTCTTTATCCACTGGAAACGTTGAGAATATGGCAATGAAGATGAGGATAACAGTCGTAATAATGAAAATACTGCAAGTAATCTTAATACCTCATCTCAGAGATATAAACAGATACCGATTTTTTTAAAATAAAGTCTTGCATTTAAACTGTGAAAACATTTTCTTTTAAATAGTAAGACTCTTGTTCGTTATATTTTTGTTTTTTTCTGAAATCCGTTTAAGAACTGAAAAATGTAAAATGGAACAGTATTTTGGAAAAAAAAAGTCCTTTTAATTTTCTTTTTTGATAGTATTCTAATGTCGAATCAAAATTGTGCAGTTTGTCAGTATGTCTTTTTATGATGAATGGCTCTTGGCATATCACACGTACTGGAGGTACTCCCTTTTTTTTACCATAGACGAGTTGGTTCTGGTAGTATGTCTAATGTAGAGCCTAAGCATGATCATTTCTTCTCTTCTAGTATGGCGTTTCTAATGCCATTCTTCTATACTTTGTTTAATTTTGAACAATTTATTGTTTGGGCAGGAGTTCCATAATTTCTGCCACTTCAAATAACATTAAGAACATCACTTGAAGACTACCAACAGCAGCAACAACTAAAATGTCTAGCACATGTAAGTCGAAGAGTAAATAAAAAAATAACCAAAATGTTCACATTGCGCAATACTTCAAACAAAATCTTAAGAAGGAAACCCCCATCAATATTGGAAATTATTATTATGACGTAATAATGTCGTTTTTTGATGTATTTTTTAACGTCAAAAAACGACATTATTACGTCATTATTTTTGCACCAACCTAATATAAAAGCTACTGAACTTGAAATTTCAACTGCAAACAATATTAGATGAAGGGTCAATGAATGCCAAATATTTCCTTATAGAGATACGATTGTTATGGCCATTGGTATTTTCTACTTTGTCTAGGATTTCTTGAAGTTTTTCTTCTGAATGTGCCGTAAACGCAGAGGCATCAGTGTACCTTGTGTTGTTATTAGGTTGGTGCAAAAATAATGACGTAATAATGTCGTTTTTTTTATCTTAAAAATAGGGCAAAAAACGACATTATTACGTCATTATTTTTGCACCAACCTAATATAATTATGTCCGCCAACGGTTATTAAGTTCGCTTAGATTAGTCTCGCTATATAGGTTAAATAATTCCCTTGAAAAAACGTATCCAATTTACCTATTTTTTATAGTTTATCAATATGTTTGTCCGCATGCAGTCTCTGGATTCTCCCGTCGTATTCAACGTATGAGGGCCCAGCAGCTCACTTCCTAGGAACCGACAGCCCAGACACCAGCATATAGGATTTGATTATAGTGGTGAAGCCTTTGTGCAGAACCAACTCCACTTTTTCAAAGGCCGAATACAGAGACCCGGTGTCACTATGTACCAAACGACACCCAAACGACCTTCTGCAGGTTTTGAATTCAGAGTTGTGTTTCTCCTAGACCAGTCGCCATCCAAGGTTATAGAACCCAGTCTGTACTGCTATTTATCCATGACTGCAGGGAGAAGTAGAGGATTAATACATTTTCAAACTGTATTAGCAACTAAGTGAATATAATGGATCCGACTGGAATTGAACTCGGCTCTCTGATTCTTATATATATATATATATATATATATATATATATATATATATATATATATATATATATATATATATATATATATATATATATATATAAAAAGTGAACATAGAAGTCAACACTTAGAGGCGACAGTCTGTTTCATGCAAAAGATGCAATCGTCAGGCCACGATTGCTGTTATTTTTCTCGGCTATTTATATATACGGGTCAGTGGTGCATTGTGGGTAGTCTATTTTAGCGGTTATTTTTACCGAAAGTCGTTTATTTGTTTATTTATTTATTAGGGTTAAATTATTTTGCTTGTTTTTATTTAATTATTTTTTTATTTTTATTTCTTTTATTATATATTTATTTATTTATTTTTATTTTTATTTAAATTGGTGTTTTTATTAACGTAACAAAAATTTGTTTATATCGCTTATTGAATAGTTTTGTTTTGATTTGGGAAGATAATTAAAGCTTTCGCCTTCAAGTGTTGACTTCTGTGTTCACTTTTATATATACATACACTCTATCTCTGATATTGAGCACTTTATCCCATAAATATAGCACATTTTAAGACTATTTTTCGAGAAAGACTTAACTGGCCTAGTTAGAAACATAAAATTCCTTAAAAAAACAAGATGCATAAAAAAAACTAAAGATATAACTTAAATAAACAATTTAGCAAATGTATTTATCGCAGAGAAAACGAGAAATTTATACAAACTAAGCCCTCCTCCTACGCACAATAAATTACTCAAGAACAACATAACCAAAACATAGAAAAAGGCACCCAAAACAATAGAACAAGATATCAATAAGGAAGCTAAAACAATCGCCCAAAAATTAGACCTAGATGACGGAATAAGATGTATTAGCAAGGCGCAAGCTTTTATTGCACTAAAAGACTACAAACAAAATTTCAAAATCAACCTTGCATGCAGACTCATAAACCCAGTCAAAAGCGAACTAGGTAAAATAAGTAAAACGATACTAGAAAGAATTAATTCTGAACTTAGGAAGAAGTTAGGAGTAAACCAGTGGAAAAACACAAAAGCAACTATTGACTGGTTCCACAGCATAAACACAGCCAATTCCTACAGCCAATTCCTACAATTAGACATAAAAGAATTTTACCCATCCATAACAGAACGCATGTTAGATAAGGCCATCAACTTAGCTCAGGAACAAATAATAATAAAGCCAAGCGAAATCGACATCATTAAGCACTCCTGTAAATCATTACTATTTCACAACGAAGAAGCATAGATAAATAAAGATGGGATATTTGACACTACAATGGGAAGCTTTGACGGTGCAGGCATGCGAAATCATCGGTATTTACTTACTACACGAACTGAGCAAAAATAGATCGAAATGATACAGAACTTTACAGGGACGACCGTCTCATAATCTTAAGAAACTGTAACAAACACAGAGAAAACTAAAAAAGCAATAATAAAGATTTTCAAAAATAACGGATTCGACATAAATATAAAAACTAACCTAAACGAAGTAGATTTTCTAGATGTTACCTTCAACCTAAGAAAAGGCACATATAAACCATACAGAAAACCTAACGATAAATCAGTCTACATACACACATCTTCCAATCATCCGCCTTCTATAATCAAACAGATACCAAAATCGATTAACCGCAAGCTTTCCGACAATTCCTCCAGTGAATCCATATTTAACAAAGCTAAGAAAGACTACGAAACAGCCCTAAAAGATAGCCGATTCCCAGCAACACTGAAAATCCTCAAGTATAGCCAACTTTATCAAGGTAAGCGTAATGTAGGCTGTCTATGGTTACGTTTCAAGGACAAACTTAAATACAATTTAAATGCTGCAAACATTTCTATAGAGGAGTTCGAACTTGCGGTTGAAAACCGAGAAAACTGGGGAAACACCTGCTAGCAGAGGTATAACTAACTTTGAAAAGAATCATCACAACCATCTAAGAAAATTAAGAACCAACACTAAATCTCGGACTAATACATCAGCCCATATGACGGTCAACCCTTCAGCATGTCCCTCGTATAGAGTTGATTTCAAATTCCGTGCTGGATTGCTGTCTCATATGAAACATAAATATTGAACTGAAAGGCACTCATACGTCGAAAAGTATCGCTCTGTTCACACTCTTCCCCTGTTATTGTACAGGTTTTGTAGAAGTCTATCCATTTTTTCCTGATTAGGATTCTCTTTCACTCCTTGCATCTTAGTGACATTATCATCTTACCAGAGGTGAATTGATTAAGAAAAAAAATATATAAAGTTATATATATATAAAATTATATGCCTTATTATTTAAATGTGTATGTATGAGTGTGTGCTCCTACGCATGTGCGTGCGTTCGATTTTGTTGTGGCAACTAACCTGCCTGTGACATTTTAAACGTGTCACCGCGCGTGCTATCGACGAAACTACGCACTGACCCTTGTCTATAAACCCATAGAAATATGTTCACTTGTGTGTGTGTGTGAGAGAGAGCGCATGCGTGCATAGGTGTGTATTTAAGCAGCCGTCCTTGAACGTATGTATTTTAGCGTCAATCCGTACAAAGGCGTATGTATCAATTGTTTCTATTTAAGCAAACGCCTAAGCGTTGATCAGGCACTGAAAATTTTTCGATTCTCAAATCGATAACATAATCTATATTGTGAACAGCCCAGAAGAAAATCGTTCGAGGAGGCTTTTCTTTTTTTTTTTTTTGTAATTGTTTTTGTTTTTTCAAATTTCAATTTAGTCTTGTCCTCTCGTGACAAATACAGTTCCAATAATTATTCTTCGCAGTGGAAATGAGTTAAGATTTCAAAGATTAGAGGCGGACATTATTTTGTGGAAATTTCACTTCAGTGAGTTTTTAAATGCCACTACAATTAACTACTAGCAGGGCATACATACAAGATCTGATCAAAACGTAGTAGGCATGTTGCTATGGTAGCGGAACTAAAGTATGCTAAGGTTGTCCTTAAACTCTGCCGCGCATACACCATAAGTTATAAGGTTCTCGTTCATTTCAATTGTTTATAGTAGTCCTTGGAAGGAAAGTGTGTAGAGTATGGTCGTCTTACCACGCCACATAAATTCAACCACTCTATTCCTCAGATCTCAATCGTGGCGACTTTTTCTTCTTTCCAAAAATCAAATCCTTCTTGGGATGAACAAGATTACAATTCGCCGACTTCAAAAGAGTGTGACTAGGAAATTTGCTCGCTACCCACGCACACAAAAAAATTAAAGTTCCAGGAATGTTTCCATCAATGGAAATGACGCTGGATATAGTATGTGACTTCAGAAGTGAACTACTTTGAAGGAAATTACACGCCGAATTGCTATGTCATGTAGCTTTCTTTTTATATCACCATTCCCGAAACTTTTTGATGAGACCTCGAATGTATGCGTGTAAGATATATATATACATGTGAGTCTTTTTGTGAGTGTGTGACCACACACACACGCGCGCGCGCGCACACACACACACACACACACACACACACACACTCTCACACACACACACACACACACACACAATAATGCCACTAAGACGCAAGGAATTTACTTGCTGCTAAGTGACTTTAGAAGGAACTGGAATCAACACTTATCAAGCCCTTGCTGGTTATTTAAAGCCAGAAAGTATTTTAGATTACAAGAATTCTTTGTCTACATTTCTGAGATGAGGTATTATGTACAGTATTTACATTAGTGGGACTATTGTCCTCATCTTTGTCGCCATATTTGTCACAACGTTTCGGCCGTTGTACGCTCCGGCCTTCTTCAGGTGGTTGGAATTTCGAACTGAACCCTTTATATCGATCGCTGGGGTAGACTGTTCTAATTCCACGTGCCATGTTTGATGGATGTCAGTTATCAGTTATCTCCTGCTAATTTTCCCTCTGAAAGTTCTCCACTGCCTTAACCAGGAATTGAACTCACCTTCTTTGGGTCTGTCACTGGATTTAACCAACGCCTTTATCCACTGTGCCATGTGTCCTTGAGGAGTGAAGAAGGCCGGAGCGTACAACGGCCGAAACGTTGTGACAAATATGGCGACAAAGATGAGGACAATAGTCCGACTAATGTAAATACTGTAAAGAATTCTTTTTTTTATTTTTTTTAAAAATGATTTAGTTATACAGGTCATAATATTGAACCCATAGCTGGGAGCTTTCTGGTTAAAAATTCCCAAACATTATCAATTACACTACACTAAACTACATCCAAATACATCCAAACTCACAACTATTGGTGTTCCCAAGAGGTCAACCATCCAAAAACTGACCAGGCTCGACGTTGCTTAACTTCGGTGATCGTACGGAAACCGGTGTTTCAACGTGATTTGGCCATAAGCCCCATTTTCTGCTACATTCAATATACTCTGTGAGTATCAGGTTCTCCATGAACCGCATCAGTATCCCTGCTATACATTTACTCGTTGGATACACCATTCGCTGTTTTCCTTGCCTGTCTTGTATTTAATATGCCCTGTTAGTGTTAAATTCTCCAAACAGTTCTTCCTCATTTTGTTTCCCAGGAATTTCTGCTATCTCTTTGTGATTGTAAATATACGTGTTCTTATAGTTACTATTGGTAGAACTCATTCGTTGCTCACATGTTTTATTCAGAGTATTATCAGCTTTTATTTGTAAAACCACATCTCTTCTGATTCAAATCTCTTCATCAACCTGTAAGAATAACTGCCATTTACTCCCAGATTAGAGATCGATATTAGTCGTTTGCTTTGTGTCGAATGAAAATTACCTAAACTTTAATATTTATTTTAGCTTCAGTGAGGTATTTTTATTTATGCCTATGTGTCATCAAATTTCTGTGTCGCATATTTCGTTGTCTGTTACGAATCGAACGAGATACTTGTTTGAACGTTATTTGTTATGACGTCCCCACTATGTAGCTTACATCTTAGGCTGTCCCTTTTGCTGACAAACATGATCTCTTCTAATAATTAATAATCGCTTTCTTATTGCTTTCTGTTACTTTTTTGAAGAATAGTTTTTCAGCTGGAGTTGAAAAAAATTATATTAGAATTTGTAGGTACGGACATATTTTTTTTTTACTTTTTCGGAGCAATTTCAGGATATATTGGCTTTTTTTTTTCTTTTTTTTTTTTTTGAAAGATATTAATTCTTTGAATAAGTTTTCAGGCTTTTTTTCCGGATCTGCCGGACAAAATTCTGATTAAGAATCAAGAAAGAGGCCACTTTTGAAGAAAATTGCCTTTTCGGTTATTATATCACTGTTGTAAAGATTGACATGGCCCTGGATGAAATATTACTCAAAAATGGAAAGGAATAAAATGTCTGAAGGTAAAAAAAAATTAAAAAAAAAAAAAAAACGTTGAAGGTTATTGCGTTACAGTTCACTCAGATATCACGGTAGATTAGTTCAAAAAGCAGGATTAAAACCACACAAAAATGATTTCTTTTTAATTAAACTTATTTGTCGAAAAACAATACGGACATTTTTTTTTTTTAAATTTCAATCTTTCACGGGAAGCCACTAGCACGCAAGAGGTTGCAGAGGATTTGGAGAGAGAGCAGATAGAAATGATAGAGGAGAGGATGAGGAGAAGGATAGTGGATAGATCAAGACAACTGGAGATGTCGATTGGCATTACATTTGAATATTTGGAGATTAAAACTATCAGGGAAAACAAGATTAGGGAAGGGAGTTCCACAGGTGAGAGGTGCGAGACATGAAGCTATTGGAGTAAAAGAGGCGGCTACATTTAACAGTTTCAACAGTGAAAGGGTGGGAGCGGATGTCAGCCTGGTAGGGCGCTTGAATTCGCGAAGTCTTGGAACCAGAGAAAGCAGCTTATCGGCGCAATTACTATGAAAGTATTTGTAAAAAAAGACAGAGAGAGGGGACGCCACGTCTGTGAGAGAGCGACTGCAGACGAGATACCAGATCAGGGCCAATTATATTGCATATCCGTCTCTGGAACTTATCAAGAACCCCGAGGCAAACAGAAGGGGCTCCAGATCATATATGGCAGCAATACTCCATTCAAGGGCGAATGGTTGATTTGTAGATTTGAAGGATCGATTCCGGGGAGAAAAATTTCCTGGAGCGGCACAGGGAGCCAACTTTCTTTGCGGTGGACGAAGCAGTTGACTCAGTGTATTTGTTCCGTCGCAGGTCAGTAGACAACGTGAGACCGAGCAGCCGCAGAGAGGCGCTTTCGGGAAGTTGAGCACCAGACATTCTTTTTTTTTAAAGATTTTTATGAAGACAATAGTAAAGTGAATATTAGTCTTAACAAAAATCATTTAATTAGTCATGTTTAGATCAGGTTTTATTTATATGGGGAGCATGTCTAAAAAACTATTATTGGGAGAGAAAATTAAAAAAAAAACTTTAAAAATCTTAAATGTATCCCCACGAATTATCCAGGTTAATAATGCTCATAAGCACCAACTAAAATATTCGGCATAGGCTTGCTTTATATAATAGCACTAACAAAGATGTTTACTAAAACGACTCGAGTGTAGGGCGGTGGATTTTTCCACTGTTTTTAGAAAATCCTCGTTGCACTGGCGGGATTTGATGTGGCATGTACTGCCAAAAACAATTGAGTTTATCAATTTTTTGCATTTAGTTTTAAACTCGTCTGAAAAATTGTACAGAAATCCATAATTTCCGCAAGTTTTCGCCTTCAAATTGATTTCACATCTTTACTGTTTCAAAGATAAATGCAAATAACGATGACATATTTTGTATTAGATACATTGAATGGAAAACGTATTCAAACCGGAATTCTGATTAATCACCATCAGAAAATAAACATTTTTTTACCCTATTCGATAAGCAAAAAATGTAAAAATTACAAAAAGTCTACTCAGTAAATAAGATCTCACACCATTTTCTTAGATGATATTAATAAAACCAAAAAACTGATAAGTTTATATAATAACATAATCTCTTGGACACAGCTTATAAGACAAAATGTTTTACATATGCATTGCTCATTGAAAAATGCATCAAAACTACAGCACTGTATAATATTTTGCGTTTTTATATAGCTAAATTGTTTATTATATTATAATTTCACTTTTAAGTAAATGAAGGTACTATTTGACGGCATAATGATTTTCAAATAACGTGCTTTTGCGATGCATCTTGTCCATATAAAATTTGTAGAGCTTCAGTACATATTTCAAAATTTTATAAGGTTGAGCTGTAAGGCTTTCACTGATTACCGGAATTTTATAAGGTTTTCACTGATCACCGGAATTTTATAAGGCTTTCACTGATCACCAGAATTTTATAAGGCTTTCACTGATCACCAGAATTTTATAAGGCTTTCACTGATCACCGGAATTTTATAAGGCTTTCACTGATCATCAGAATTTTATAAGGCTTTCACTGATCATCAGAATTTTATAAGGCTTTCACTGATCACCGGAATTTTATAAGGCTTTCACTGATCACCGGAATGAAATTCTAACGTTACGATTTTGAACCTAAACTTAATTTGCAAACTAGTTTTCTCAAAAAAGATTTGGAAAAAATATTTTTATTTATTTATCATGTCAAACCCCAACTTTCAACAGTTCCAAAATTGATCTGTCCTACTGAACAGGTGTATGTCACCTTCACAAAAATATCGCGCAAATGCAGGAAAAGCAGACTGTGTGAATATATATTCATTAATTGGATTAATGATAAAGAATTACTTAGTCTCAGAACATCCTTTTCAGACAACAATAGCATATGCTTAAAAGCTGTTGAATTTTCATGTAAAGTGCGTAAAAACCATTGGCTTATCATCTAATAACCCAGAAGATCAAAGATGAGTTAACTGAAAAAAAAACATAAAAAAACAGCATCCAGTCGATATTACGATGTTACCTCTAACCACTCTCAATACCAGCAGAACGAGTGACATATTTACAAAGAAAAAATTTTTATCATCTCCAGGTCGAGAATTCTTATTTGAGGTAAAATTATTACACGTTATATATTATTATCAGCAATGCATTTTCGAAATAAAAAACATATTACCAGCAGTACATTCTGGACGAAAAAAAATATATTACCAGCAATACATTTTTTTGGAAAAAAAATATTACCAGCAATTAAAATCTTGTCAGCATTAAATAAACAATTGAACTCGATATGCCGTAAAACAAAGCAAAGCTAACCAAACATTTGTATTCCATTGGTAAAGAGAATGGTCTACTTAGACAATTTCTTCCGAAGAACTCTTATTCCCCGTAGAAGGATTCTTCGATCACTACCAGCTTAATCTTTTCTATTCTAAGGTCAACGGTTAGCTATCATTATCATCATCAGGTCTAAATTTATTCTCGAATTCTCCTGACTTGTTCTTTCCAACCGTCCTCCAGATGCCATCAAGAGTCATCTACCAGTTGGTCAATGTAAGTGTGATGAGGTTCTACTCTACATGTGTCAGTCACCTTTACAAAAATATCGCAAATGCAAGTAAAGCAGGCTGTGTGAATATATATTCATTTATTGGATTAATAAATAAAGAATTACATACTTTCTGAACATCGTTTTCAGACAACAATAGCATATGATTAAAACCTGTTGCATTTTCATGTAAAGTGCGTAAAAACCATTGGCTTATCATTTAATCACCCAGCAGATCAAAAATAAATTAACTGAAACAGTCGATTTTACGGTGTTACCTCTAACCTCTGTCTATACCAGCAGAACGAGCGATATATTTACAAACCAAAATTTTTTTCAGTATCTGTCTATATTTCTGAGATGAGATATTAGGTACAATATTTACATTATTCGGACTATTGTCCTCATCTTTGTCGCCATATTTATTACAACGTTTCGGCCTTTCAGTATCTGTCTATATTTCTGAGATGAGGTATTATGTACATTATTTACATTATTCGGACTATTGTCCTCATCTTTGTCGCCATATTTATTACAACGTTTCGGTCGTTGTACGCTCCGGCATTCTTCAGGTGGTTGGAATGTCGAACTTAATCCTTTATTTCGCTCACTGGGGTATTTTTTTCATCATCATGTCGATAATTATTCTCGGATTCTCCTGAGTCATTCCCTCTCTGTGAGACATCGCCGTCGGCATGTCCCCTAGATGGCATCCAGAGTCATTTACAAGTTGGTCAATGTAGGTGTGATAAAGTTTTCCAACCGAACTTTTTCATGCTGATGGGTTCCAAAGGAGGTTGTCACGCATAAGTTCTGACTTACTTCTCCAGAAGTGACCAGCTAGCCGAGGTCTGCTCTCTCTTAGCGAAAATGAGATAGGTGTCCATAAAGGCGTTTCTTTGTTGGATGTTTCTTCCAACTGATGTTTAGTGAAAATCGGACATCTTTGTG